GGAGGAGGATGGTGGAGCCCCTCCAAGAAGGAACTTCAATTTTGAGTGACAGGTGGGACACTGAAAGGGGAGTACAGTTGTGGTTAAAAATTGAAATCCAATGCGGGGCTCAGGAAGATTCTCAGTGATAGCCCTCAGAGGAGTGAAGTGCTGAAATGATTGGGGAACGCTCTAGGGAGAAAGCAGCTCTAGAGGCTTAGAAGAGGAGGGACAGTTCCTTCAGGAAATGAATAGCTCAGATGGTGGGTGAAGTTGTGTTATGGAGGGAACTTGAATGTCATCACATAGGCATGGAGGCCAGCTTGGGAAGGATCTGAGGTGCCACAGAGTGCAGGCATTTTTCTCTGGGCAGTGAGCAGCCAGTGGATGTTGTATTCAATAAGGTAAAGTCACAGATGCATTCAGAAATATCACGCTGGTCTTGGGAAATCACATCTGTACAAATTATACCTCTTAAGTTTAGTCTAGACTTTTTCACCAAGGGATGGGTAACTCTTGGTCCTGGGGTTGGAAAGCAAAACCCAGAGATTTGGATGGTTTTTCTAGCCATTGGCTTTAGTGGGTCAGTTGAGTGCCTCATTTTTGTTTTTGAAATGACAGAGCTTGACAAATCTTCCACTTCAGGCTTTTTTGGCCTGTGATACTGAAGATCATTAGGAGGGGCAAAACAAAGTTTTAAAAACATTTTGTCTGAAATCTACCTTTGGTATAGGGCCTTGGTGTGTGATGGAAAAATGAACAGAGACTATGCCCCCTTGCTTTGGAATCAAGTCACAGGGCACGGTATTGCTGTGTGGAGCAGACTTGCTTCCCTTCTCTGTGTGCCAGGCTGGGGTGCTGCCTGCAGGTGCTGGTCTGTACCCTCCAGGAGCCTGCAGATTACTTAAGGCAGGTGGAAGCCGGTACCACTTAGGTACATCACAGACTGCTCAGGGCCAGGCCTCACATTGTGTGGGGTGCAGGACTGCTGTGAATCAGACATGGCACAAGGGCCCACAAGGACTTCTCCAGGTAAACATACTTCCTGCTCTGCAAAGTGTTTTTCCTTGGGGTTTCTAGGCAGGTTGAAAAGAGCTATATTCATAGATCTTCAGAGACCATTGGTGACAGCCTAAGGCGCTGGGAGCTGCTTGCTCTCAGTGAGACTGTTAATCTGTGAAGGATTTGGAAGGAATCCTAGAGAAAACGTGCCTTGAGGCCTGTTGGCTGTGGTCTTTGGTCTTGTCCAGCGCTCTTTCTAGGAGGGGGCGTAAGCCTTGGATTTTGCTCTTGTCTTCTCTTGGGGATGTGGGATGGCTCCAGGACCTGACACAGCTGTATCACTTCTCATCTCTTACAAGTAGTCCTTGCATTTTTCTAGAGAAAAAAGTTTCTAGATTGACGGAAGAGAAAATGACAAACTTGAGGCTGGTATAGATGGAGACTGGCCCTGGCTTTGGAAGACTGTAGCCTGTCCCCGGCCAATACACCAGATGTGGCCTTTCCTTGGCAGCCAGTTCTGTACTGTGCTGTGCTGTACTTCACAGGAAGGCTCTTGTCAGCATTGCGAGTCACTTACAGAACTAAGGCCACACCTGGGTGACCTTGTGCCAGCCTTCAATCTAGGCTCAATGTCGTTTGTTCTTTCTGGGCAGGGAAACAGATGGTCAGAAAGTTGTGGGTTAAAATTAAGGAAATGAATCAAGAGCAGGGACAGGAGTTTAGGTGGCTAGGAAGAATATCTTTAAGGTTCTTCTCCTCTTATAACTTAGAAAGTTGGATTGTTTCTAGCTCTTTCCCCTCTTCTGGGTGGCTCACCCTCTCTACCCTTCCAGGTCTAATGCTGGATCTCTGCTCATGGTCTGTGACAAGACAAGTGATTCAGCCACACTGGTCTCCTTGACATACTATCCACATCTCTTTGGACCCTGCTTCCCTCAGCTGTAGCTTTGGCCACCCCAGGTGGGCCCATGTGTGAGGTGCCATGTAAAAGCCAGGTGAGCCTTGCTTCCAACATCCTCTGCTGTCACCAGATATGCTGCTATAGGATGCATTCCTTTCCCTCCATCACCTGTTGAGATTGGCCCTATGTAACCCACATCTTTGGGGTGTTGAATGCTGCTTTCTCCTGGCTCATTTAGTATGGCAGCTTTTCAGCCATGGGATCTGCCATTGCTGTGAGAGTGGTGCTTAGCTCCATTTACTTCATTTCATGGAGAGGAAGGCTCATCTGTAGAAACTGGGCTAGGGAGTGATTGTGGGTGTCCTCATGGCCTGCTTGCCATCTCACAGGATGAGGGTGGGCTGTGGCTGGCGAGTGGTATCCAGAGGGACTTCTTCCAACAGCACATCAGGGCTCAGGTGGGCAAAGTGACTGCTCAGTCCAGGTGGGAACAACCTGCTATTGGGCAGACATATACTTTAGCCTCTACCAGAGCCCCAGAGCATCTTTGCATTCAGGCCTTTCACCCTGGATCCATCTGTCTGGCCCTGTTGTGCTAAACTTTTGGTCTCTTAAGTGGTTTGTTAGGGCCCAGCCACTCCTTTGGGAGACTGGTCTTCTTGCTCCATGCTAGGGCAAGCGCACTGCCAGGAACATTGAGGYTCTTGGGCCCAAATGCAGTGATATCCTTGGGGGTTTGGCCTGGGGTTGGCCTCAAGCCATCAGGCCCCCAGCCCAATTGCTGTGGTAGGGTCTTCCTGCCTTGTGTTGTAGTGTTCTGGTGGCAGGGCCTGTTAGGCTTGCTTCTCACCCACTCACAAGCAGACAGAGCTCTGACTGGGAAGGAGTGGAGAAGTAAGTATGAACTGAAGCTCTGGGCTGTTAAGATGGGGCTCCCTCTTAAGGAATAGTAGGGTGGTCTGGCTTCACTTCAGCCCTTCCTCAGCTCCAGGGCCAGGGTACAGGAGGCAGCCATGTGTGGTCGTGGGTAGAAAAACTTTCCCCATCACACGGTTACACACGTGGCATTCAACTCCTGGCTGTAGCTCGCTCTGGTCTGGTGATGAAATTAGCTTTTAGAAGTCTATTTAAAATATCCATATCTATTTATTGTGTTTTCCTGAATATACAAGTGTAAATAGTATAATTTTGCAGTGCAAAGTCCTTGGCAATAACTTTATGTTGTGTGTTATGTTAAAAAAATTGGAAACCACATCCACCATGGACTGTCTGCCCCACCGGGGCAATGGTCACATGTAGGACTGAACTTGACACCGTCAGCGTGGTTGAAGCAGCAGCCTGCATGTGTGGACTCACCAGTGCCTCGCCCAGAGATGCCTGGCCTTCACCCAAAGGGACCCTGCTGCCCCGACTTCCACAGGCAGCACCCACACTGTGGCTACTTTGTGCTGAGTATGTTGGACTCTGCTGTAGACTGATAACTCTTGTCTGGCTGCTGCAGTTTGTCTGTAATGCCCTGACATGTTGCATTACCCCTCTTTGGATGAATAAAAATAAATGCTTCTGTGTTAATGGCAGTGGACTGAACCATTCTGTGCAGGACCCACCCTGGCGGAACAGAGACTCTGGCTCAAAAGGTTCAAGTGCTGGCCCCTCTCACCTGGCCTGCAAGACCAGCTCAGTACGTCTCACAAGATCTTCCCTCACACACAGGATGAAGGGCTCCTGACAAAGCCAGTGGGACCAGACCTTATTTCATGTTCTTGTCTGTGGTCCTTAAAATTCTGCTCGTAAGTGAAAAAAGTTTACTCCACATGAAACTTCAAGCTGGCAGCCTGGCTCAGTGAGTGGGAGGTCAAGAGTGCGCCTGGAGCTTTTCACACCCCTCACAGTTATGTCCTCAGGACCATCCCAGGGGTTGGCAAGCCTCAGATGAGATCAGGAACCCAGGGCTCAGAGATAAAGGGACTTGCCTAAGAGCATCAAGCTTCTAGAGGGCAGCAGCAATGGGACTCCAAACCTGGAGCTCTTGCTTCTGCTCCTGCCAGTGCCTGCTCTGCGGTGCCCCTGCAAGGTTCCTGTAAATGAGCAGCCCTAGGAAGCAGAGCCCAAGACCAGGGTGAAACTCCTGCCTCTGCCTGCAGGTAAGTGGGGAGCTGAGTGGACAGTGGCACTGGGTGCTTGCCCCACTTTTCCCCTGCACACCATGAGTTTGGCTTTCCAGCCATGCTACTAGCATTGACCAGAAGAAGAGCTGACCAGGCCAGCCCACCTCTGCTCCTTCCATCCCGGGTTTGCCTTTCTGGGCCTGAGGGGAAGCCAGGCTTTCTTGTCTGTAGAAACAGGCTGTTGAGGGGGGCCTGGAGAATAGGAGGGGGCAGGCTTGTTTTTCTTGGTCTTGAACCCCAGAAGAGAAGGTCGCAGTCCTACATGGCAGGGAAAACAGGACCCCCAGATTGTGTGGCTACAAGCAGACCTTCACTTTGAAATTTGGCAGTGATAATAATTGTCACAGCGACTGTGGGGAGGGAGTACATGAGTCAAGAGCGCCACAGCAGCTTAGCAACCTGAGAAAGGCGGAGCCTGCTGCACAGAAGGGAAGAGATGTATCCAAGGTCATGAATGTGTGGTGCAGAGCTGTGTCCATGTGGTCATCTTGAACCAGCTGTCCTGCTGGAGTTAACACCTCAGCCTGTGTGGCCTGGGCCCTATGAGCCCCAGCTTCCTCATCTTTAAAATGGGAGAAGGGTGGGGAGCTTAGTGCTCAGGCCTGTTCTTCAAGCAAGCACCTTAGTCATTACTCTGCGTGGCTCCAAGCTTCATGTTTGTCTGCTCCATCTCCTACCACCTGCCCCTACCCTAACCCCATGAGTCCAAGAGTAGTCCCAACGTCGGCATCACACACAAATCTCTTGAGCAGCGAAGTGACTCTCCTAAGCCACTAGGGGCCCAAATTACCTACCATACCCCTTTGGCAGAGGCTCTTGCTTTCGCAACTGTTGAATCAATTCAGAACCAGGAATGCTGTAGACCCACCTTGAGCCCTCATGGATTCTCCTTTCCTTCTCCCACTGCTCACCCACTGCCACTAGGGTTTGAAATTTTGACACACACACATATATATATGGACTGCTTCACAAATTTGGGTGTCATCCTTGTGCAGGGGCCCTGCTGACATTCTCTATATCATTGCAATTTTAGTATATGTGCTGCTGAAGGGGGCACCTGCCTTCTTCCCCCGGTGTTACTGACAGTGCCCTGCATCAGCTCAGCTTGCAACAGGGGCTGCCGGATGCAGCCTGGCCTGTGTCATATTCTCACCACCTCTCAGAGCAGCCTGAACTGTGCCCAGTGTCAAAAGCAGAGCAGGAATTCCCAGAACTGCCCTTCCTCCTGCCACAGGTCTCTGGCCATTTGCTGCCCTTGGCCACTTCGTTCATAGCCAGGCTCCATAATATCTGTGTGTGTGCGCCTGGCTCTGCCTTCTCCCTCCCCATTCCTCGCTTCCACTGTGGTAGCCGCTGGCAACCTCCCCAGATCTAATGGTCCTGTAATGAGCTGCCCTCACTCCAAGACAGCGCCCACTCCTTTCCTTCCCTTGAGTTTCCACTCCTGGGCCTGTGTAGCCCATGCTTAACGTGTGTCTTATCTGCAGTATCTTCTGTTCTCCTGCCTAGAGGTTACAAATTAAAGGAATGACTGTATGGAGTGACTGCTCCCAGTCCCCAACATCTGGTAACACCTGGGGTTGTTTCCGGGCTGTGGCATCCTGTGATGCTGGGCAGGGGCCTGTGATGGTGCTCAGCCCTGCCGCACAAGCTGACCTTTACCACCGTCAGCCAAACGTCTGTGCTGGAGTTCAGAAACTCTGGGCCACAGATTCCAGACATCTCCACCCTGCACGTCCCAAGGGATCTCCAAATCCACGCACTTAAAAGCTACATTTATCTTCCTGGTGTGCTTTTTCCACTCACCAAGTTTCCCTGACTCCATTCTCTGTCATCCCTGCCCAAACTAACTTTTCCCAATTTTCTCCCTAAAGCATTGATGAGGAACGTCCCTATGAGAGTTGGTGTAAAACTCTCCAGGGTTCCCTTCCAACTTCTGGTGTGGCCTCAAATTACCCAGTTCCATTTCATCACTGTCTCTTCCAAGACAGACAGCTGTTCCAAATTCCATCTTCTTGCCCCTTTATCCAGCAAATCACCTAGTCAAAATACTGTGCAAAATGCTGTGGTACGATCATCTTGTCTGCCCTGAAAATATACTTTTAGTGGTCTCACAGGGTTCTGTACCTCCGGAAGTACTTACCATTTGGCATTGCAATTATTAATCTCTCTCCAGTCTTAACCAGGGCCCCGTCCTGAAAGGGGGACACTCATCTGAGTTATGGAATCCTTTCTTGGGGCCAGGGGAGAGCTGCAGGGATCAGGATTTCTACTATACTCCTCAACATGGGACCTTTGGGACTGGAAAAGCATGGAGCAGGCTGGCCAGCAATAGACCCCAGAAATATTCCCTCTAGCCTGTGAGCATTCAAAGGACCCCAGCTGTGAAACTGGCCTGGCCTCTATAAGAACACCTGCATGGGCTCCCTTTCTTTCTGAAGGCATAAAGCCGTGGTCTCTGGATTTGGATCTGTTTCCATTCAAAGGCTATGTGTTAGGGGGGCAGATAATGGAGAGCAGGTCAAACGGGGAGGGAGACCGAAGCAGGTATGCTGAAGGACCACAGTGAGGAGAAAGCCATGCTACCAGTTTCCCTAAGACCTGGCAGAGCACACCTGGGCCCTGGTTACACTTAACTACTTACTGCTCTCTGGCTGTTGCCCTGTCACTCCTTCTCCCCTCACCACACAGTAAGAGATGCTTTTGTGTTTTCAGGCCTAACTCCACCCTTCCTTTCCTCTCTCCTGTAAGACCCTCCCTGGACCTCAAGGACTCCTAGGTTTCCATCTGTTTCAGTCACCGAAGTACTGCACTGCACAGCAACTGTAGGGACTCCCCCCTCTGCTGTGTCTTCTCCCCCGTGCAGCCTGGCATACCTCAGGTACATGCCTGTTGGTGGGCAGAAGGTGCTGCCTGATGCTCACACAAGACAGTGCAGTCTTGTCCTCTCTTGACTGACTCCTGTGCTGTGTGGGATGAGGAAGGGAAGAGGAACATGTAAAGAGAAAACTGGATTTTACAAAGAAATGCTGTTTGTACCAAAATATTTAATGAATATGCTGTTAAAATAAAACCAACAAAAGAAATAGTAATACAATTTTACTGGTTTATATTTCAGTTCGTAAAGTTGACACACAAACTACCTACCCTAGCACAATGTCCACACACCTAGGATTAGATGGGCTTACAGCTGTTTTGATAACTGAATAAGAAAGACACAGAAAGCAGCAGAGGGGATGGTYGTTGGTGTTGGTGGGGGGGTGTTGCCACTTGTTATCTCCCTTCTCAGAAGACCTCAGCAAGCGTTAGTACAGCCAACAGGAAGAGAGATACAGAACAGCAGCCCAGTGTCTCTATATACAACCAGTGCCTCCTGTCACCAGCCACCTCTGCACTGAATGCCAAGAAGAGGACAATCATTTTGCAGACAGCCTGTCAGCATTTCACTATATAAATTAAAAGTTTTTTGTCTTTTGCTTTTTAATAAAAAAGGTGCTAAAACCTCCATCATAGCTTTGAAATGAGAACCTGCAGCCCATCTGGACAATGAAGTCTGTGCCCAGCCACACATTCCCGGAGGGCTCAGAAGCCAAGTCAGGAGGGACTAGGCCAGGAGGGTGGAGACCTCAAGGCCGGTGCACGCTCACATTTACATAAATACAGTGCAGTCCTCACTTGTACAACCTGTTGTGCAAATACACTAGGAATCTTGGAAGTGAGGGCCCTTTTCACAGTTCCCACAGTGGCAGGGAGGAGAGCAGGGCCCAACAAAACTCAAGTAAAAGTAAGTGCCAAGTAACCATGTCAGTAAAGTTGAGCAGATCAGCAGTCCTAGTCTGGGATTTAAACACTGTCAGCTGGGTACATTGGGGAAGATATTTATATATATATATGTACACATGACACATTAAGCAAAATAAGATTTGTCCACATTATGATTAATCCAGCTTTGCAAGTCACATCATCCACCCAGCCTTGTGAAATCATTTTGGCAGCTAATGTTAAAAACAGGAACTACGAGAATTGCATAGAATTTATCAGAAACATGTGAATAATGCTAAACCAAAAACCTGTCTCTCGTATAGTTTAGTAAAACTAGGTGGCTTCGGMTATAAYTAGGAAACSGTCCTGTTAAAACAAAGTGCTTCTCATATCTMCCTGGGGACCACCTGCTGGCACAGACAGATAAGAATTATTTTAATTTTTGATCCCTGCTCCCCCGCCCCCATGTATATAATGCATATTTTWAAAAAAACTGGTTTAAAAAAAAATCAACACACTGAAGGATCCCCAAATGCTGATAATGTAAATTCAGCCTTTCGACTGGGTGAGGTGTTGACCTACACGGAAGGGCCTGGGAGGTCACACTGAGGAGTGAGTTCTGGTGTGTCCGGAGCATCAGCTAAGTTGGCAGGCCTGCTGGTATCAGCAGTTAGGAGAGCCTTACCCAGAGCTGCCTGCTCAGGAGCCCTGGTCCAATGACCTACCAACGTGTGTGAACAGATTTGAATTAGGTACATTCTGGTCCTGGGACATGTCACAGAATCACACATCTGGCCAAAGAAGGCAACAAAAGGTGGCATGTTTTCTGAAGGTGTTTGGAGGCAGCCTGGGCTCTCAGCAAGTCTCTTTCCCTTGTACGCCGGTTGCCGTCTTTATGGAGCTCAGGGTTCGGTTAAACCAGGTCTTCTTAGCTGCCTGTACCTCATTGAGAGCAAGGCCTAAGTGGTGCTCCAAGTCCTGTARGAGGAAAGATGAATATGAGGATCTCAGCTTTGGTGTCAATGACATTGCCTCCCCAGAACTGAGCCAGGTAAAAGTTACATCTGGAAACTTCCCCTGCTTCAAGCTGGCAGAGGAAGGTCTGTAATAGCTAGAGATTGGGGAGCTTTCCTAGATAGACCTCTGTCTCTTGGGATTTGTTACCCGGGGTACTTTACCACTGAGTTACATCCTCAGTTTTTTTATTTATCTGTGATAGATTCTTGCTAACTKGCTGAGGCTGGCCTCAAACTTGCAATCCTTCTACCTCAGCCTCCTGAGATGCTGGGATTTCAGGAATGTGCCATTGTGCCTGGCTAAACCTTCATTTCTTGTCTGGTGTATTTATTAAAACCAATGGTCTGTTAATTGAATGTCTCCCCCTTCTATCCACGAAGCAGACAGCTCATGCTCTAGCTCTTGATTATACCATTAATTTCCAACTAAAACTTTTAAAGTTCAATTGAGATGCTTCATACCCTGGGCCCACATCTTCTCTCCCAGTCTTAGCACCCACCTCCATCCCCTCCTCCTACATGGAAGGTCTCCCATAAGACTGTCTCCTCACTGGGCAGTCCTCTCCTTCTTCTGGCTGTGGAACAAGCCACTCCTGACCTCCTGCCTTGGTGCTCGTGCTTCATTTGCTGCAGCTGCATGCCCTGGCCATTCTCTGACCACAGCCCACACACTGACTGCTGCCTTGGGGATGCCTTTCCTGATTGTCCTGGGCAGTTCCATGAGGAAGGCTTAGCTCTGCAATCCCAGACCTAGAACAGGAGAACAGGCCTGGCAAAGAGCAGGTGTCCAGGGACAATATACAGTGGGAGCGCAACTGCTGCGGCTCCGGACCTGAACTGCACTGAGATACTGACCACTGGCATTCTTCCAGGAGGATTACGATGAAAAGTTTAAAAATGATGAAAAAGAACCTACACTATAAATGTCATTTCTGGGGCTTTTCATCCCCTTCAGGGAATCTGGCCTACAGCGTGCATCTGAGTGCCAATGACATTACCTGGATCTTGCACTCAGCTTCCACCAACTGGAGCTTGGTTTGTGCCAGTTCCAGTTCCATCTCTCTCAGCTGGTTCTTGAGGGTCTCCTTCTCTTCATCTGTGTCCTCATCTAACATCTCCTTGGTTGAGCTGATGCCCTTCACATGTCCTTCCTTGTTGAAAAATTCCCGGCAGCGCTCACAGTCATCCACCTTTTGCTGTAAGTGAAGTCAGAGATAAAGAGGCAAAGAAGAGAAACCAGCCCTTGGGGACGCTGTAAGCACCTCCCCTGGGGCAGGAG